TGAAAATTAAATCTATGCATAAAACTGTAGGCTTAAGAGAGGAATTTATTTGCTTAGACAATGTTAGGCTTTTTAAAAAATTAATTTCCTTTTGAGTAATTTGTTTTGTCATAATACTGCAGTATGGAAAACAGTTTGCTCGTAATTCAGTTCATGCTAATACCTTCACCGTAAAAAACTTTAAATCCAACAAATGATATAAGGTAACGTGTGTTTGAAACACCAGTTGTTTGTGTAACACGCATGAAACTTTCATATTTTTCTTTTTTATTTGTAGTCCTGCCGAAAAATAACATTTAATCTGTCCTCGTATTTCTTTTTTATCATGATGCTTTTCCCCAGTATTTGCTATTTTGTATTCTTGAAGAAGAATTTATTGTGGGCAAATTTGCTAAGTTTCTGCTGGCAAAGAGCTCCTTGAGGCAGTAATTGAACTGATGAGGGGGAATTTGCAATTGTGGAGTTGCTCAGTCTTTCCTAGAACCAAGCTGCAATTGTTTGCACAACTGAATGCACAGAAGCATACTTTGCTCCATAGGAAGAAGATAGAGTGTTTCCAGTGATTGATTCCCGCAATGAAGTGGCCTGTCATTTTTGCTGCTCCTGTGCAACCCTGGCAAGAAGGTTAAGTGACTTGGTGTCATTGGACAAGATAGGAAGAGAGGAGGTGATACTTCTGTCTCAGGTGGAGCTTCAGCTGTATTCAGCAAGGCGGCTGATGGCTGGCACAGCACACACTTGTCTCTGTCAGGGAATCAGGTCCATAAGGAAAATCTTCTTGCAATGACAAGCAAGAAGTCAAATACCCTGTGCTGCTCTCTGCTGCTCTCTCTCGAGCCATTCCTCACTTAGAGATAGATGTCGTGGTCCTAGTAAACACCTTGCATCAACATGTGTTCAACATGGGTTCTTATAAATACCATAACTTATGTTATGGCACAGGATCAGATATGTTTGTTAAATGCAAAATATACCATGTTTTGAGAGCACAGTGCAGTCGTCTTGTTGATATTAACTCAGTTCCCAGACATCAGCAATGAGTATGACATAGTGTAGATGAGCTGCTGATGCTTTCAGCACTGGGTTTATTAGATCAGCTTTGAGCAGAGTTAGCTAGCACAGCTATTAAAATGGCAACAGCCAAACATCTTTCAAAAGAAGAGGGCTCCTGGAAGGGTGGCCCTGGGAGCTGGGTGGAAAACATTGCTGACTTTTGTCAATGGAAGCAGGAAACTAATGACTCTATTCCTGGGGTTGACTCCCACATGGTACAGTATGTCTTCTGTGAAGTGATGTAAATATCGATGGAAAGCTAATGGATTCATTTCAGGTACCAAGAAAAGGGAATCTTAAAACATGCAACCTTATTTTTGGGACATGGTTCAGTGCTACAGATCACAATCGACCAAAGCCACGCGGTGCTTATAGGGTAGATCTGACTCATTACTACACTGTGTAGTGCAGATCTGACTCATTACATACTGTTACTCGACAGTATGGGTGCTGTCCTGATGGCTCCTGGCTCATTTGGGATGTCTCTGTGCTAAGTGTAAGCCTTTCTGAACCTGGTGTGAATACACTGTTAGAGAACACCTCAAATACAGATGAAAAATATTAGCCCTGTGATAGTGTTGAGGTCACTGAAACAGGAGATTATGCCTTGTATGACCACCTGCTGGCTACTACTTGGCTGACAGGCATGGTGCTTTGAGAACTATTGCATCCGTATTTTTTCTAGTTCCTGGTAAAAATGCTGAAATGTGAACAGCCCAGGTGTACTGCTCTTCTTTGAAACACTGGCCACAGCATGCAGTGATTTATCTTTTGATTCCAGACAGTGTGTGTCTCAGGAGAAGAGTCAGGGATCACTCAGACAGATCTGATCTAGGTGTTAGTTTATTGAGTTCTATTCAGTAAATATAAGTATGTAAAATATTTAATAAGTACAGGTGGATGTGCGGTCAATACTTTACTGTTGACTACACTTTGAGTTAGTATGGGGTACAAAGATTATTATTACTATACGTATCTTAAATGTTACATGCATGCAAAAAATGTCAGTTACCAAGCCATTGGTGTCTGGTCTGAGGTAAAGGGTCTCTCAGCCTTGAAGAGGTAACATTGAAAGATGTCCCTGCTTAAGGGGTGATCACCACCACGCATCCAGCTGCTATGGAGGGAGAGCTCAACAGGCCCTGACAGGTGCAGATATTTATAGCATAAAGTGGTTGATTTGTAGTCAGATTTTCTGCTGTTAATGCAGTTTTGGCCACATATCAGCTGGTCTGCAGCCTGAGCTGGAGTTCTCACTGATACCCTAACACAGTAGGATTAACTTCGGTTAGGCTTACTTGCTGAGCATCTCCCCGGACCAGAGTTCAGTTAGTTCATACAGTAGGAGTGCATCTGTCACAGTGCATCACAGAGATCTGCCCCACGTGAGGCAAAGCTCCATAGCCCAAGGTAGAAAAGGATCCTCTTTAATATTTTCCGGAGCTTACCTGTGCACTGGGACAGCACTGGTGCTGTGTTTGCTGGGGTTCTTCTCTATGTAATTTGACAGAATTATGCAAGTGCATGTATATGCAGTTACCTAACAGTTATTATGATTTTTTATTAAAATGTATCATTAAAAGAAGAGTGCATGCATTAGAAAAAGGAGCAGGTGTACAGAGGGATTCTAATTACAGAGCTGAAGCTGGGCATTGTATCACTTTTGAGCACTGGCCTGCTGTGTGCAAAACTTCAATCAACTCTGTCTTAATGAACAAACTAGAAAAGCTCAAATATTCAAAATATTATATCTGGAAAGGCCTATGAGGAAAAAATAAATGAACACCTAATTAAAAAAGGCTGCTTTTCTCTAGAAGCATCAAAACAGAACAGTCTGTGGGGTGCAGGGATTTAATCATGGCTTTAAATAATAACCAGACCTTTTCCTATGTGATTCACTTCCTGCTTTTTTGGATTTGGTGTTTTTATGCACTGTGTATTGATTTTGATCAGCTGTAGCATGCTGGATTAATCTTGTATTTTTTAATACAGTATGCTGATTGCGTCTCAACTGGAACCAACGTATGCCAGGACAGTTTATCCATGTTTTGATGAACCTGCCATGAAGGCCACATTTAATATCAGAATAGTCCATGACCCAAGCTATGTGGCTCTTTCCAATATGCCTGCTATTGGTAGGTAAACAGCAAGTAGACTTATGGTTTATTTTCCCCCTAAATTAATTTTTAAAGAGTGTAATTTTTCTGAACAGGCTGTATCATCTGATACAGCAGTGTTCAGTTGTCCATGTGCTGATACCTTGAAAATGTACAGAAAATCCGTGCCTATGAACTTAAAAATTTGGAGCCAGTTATTCATAATTAATGTCTCTGATGGCAGTAATTCCATAGTTTTGTCAGTTGTGATGTACTCTCTGGTTGCTGAAGGCTGCCTAGGGTTTGATTCCTGGCATTTACTGTTTAATCAGTGTGTCTGTCTTCCTGCATGACATCTGCTTAAATGAAAATGGCAGCCCCAGTACGCAAATCCTGTAATTGTGGTGTTAAGGGATTACTTTCATTCTAAGTAGATTTTAAGTCATATTTACAACATACAAAAAATTATTTTACCTGTCAGAGACACTGTAGCCTCCTATTATGTGCAGAATAAGAATGAGAGGACTGTAAGGCTCTGGAGATGCTCCTCCTGTCCCTAGCTGGAATCTTGTGTGGGATGCATGTGGAGTATAAGATTCCAAACAAATTCTGTAAATGAATATTCCTACATAAACCTATTAGATCTCTTGCCTCGTTTTCAATGGCTTTTTTCTGCAGCTCAGTGCCATGAATCTTTATTTTTTACCTGAATAATTTTCATCCATAAAGAGGAAGTTTTATGAGATTTGAATGGAAGCTAAGCAACTTAGGGATTATAGGATCTCTGTGAGAATCACTTGAAGCATTTTCTCCCCTTCACAATCTTGTCCACGTCTCCATTATTTAGAAGGAAGGTATCTGATTAAGTGTTTCATAATTCTCGGGCACACATGACCTATATTTGGATCATAATAGATCATACATTTTAGAGATACGCAGCATGGGATAAATTGTCCCCAGTTTGCCCACATCCTAAAACTGACACAGCTTGATATACTTCCAAGACTTCAATTAAGAAGCTCTAGAGTGGATGTTTGCAAGGAAGGTCATGACTCTAATACATGGCAGTAGCAACGAGTATGGCTGCTTGCCTTCTACCAGAAACATATGAAGTTAGTGCAGAAATACAGCTTATTGAAGAGAGGTGTAAAAAACCATGCAGAAAACACAAAATTCCTTTTTTCTTATGGAAGAGCAATGATTTGAAGATTTCTTTGATATTTTTTCTAGATGTATCTGAAATGAAGGATGAAAATGGAAGCCTGTGGACTGTTACCACATTTAACACTTCGCTGAAAATGTCAACTTACTTGACTGCTTTTGTGATTTGTGATTTTGATTATGTCACCAGAACTGAGCGGGGAAATGAGGTAAATATCAGGCTGTATAGCACATTATAGCAGTTTACAACAGAATTTGGCGCTGTGGTACATCACCTGCTTTAGAAGATATCACAGACATTAACTGTGCATTCCATCCCAAAATGATTTGCTTATGTGCCAAAACCACTAACATTATCCTGCAGGTATTTCTGCAGAAAGCTTTTCTTTAGGACAATTAATTTATTGTCCTGTCCTGATCATTTCATACAATTCCACAAGTAGGTGTGGGCTCTGTATGTTAAATCTTCAGAGGCAGCTACTCTACCGAAAGTCATAATTCTGGGTCGTCTTACCTTTTTAGCTCTCTTAGTAGGAAAAAATATCAATTTCCACTTCTGTGAAAAACCACTACAGCGTCCTGTCCTTCAAGGCCCTTTGAGGAGCAGTGTCATGACATCAGTAGGAGCAATGCTATACTCCAAGCATTTTGTATACTAGTATTTTAACCTTTTATTCTGCAGTGGGCAAGTTCTTTAGCCTCCAAAAGTGACTTTTTTGTGTTTAAAGCTTTTTCATCAATGAGTATTCAGTTTTGCTCTTACACTACAATGGCCAAACTTCTTGAGGGAATCTGTGAAAAAATATACCCTATTGGCACCAGTTGTTTCACTTTCCTTTTTTTGCTGAAAGTCAGCAGGTGAAATATGTATCAAGTTGTTCCAAAATAAGTAGTAAACTCAAGCATAAAGCTATTAAGGGTAGCATGTACTTGTAACACAGCACAGTGTTAGTTTCAAGGTGAGAGGATGGTGCAGAGATGACCTAGGAAGCACAGTATTAACTCCTTTTTAAAGTGAAGATTGGACTTGGTATGTCTGTATTGGGTTTGAGTGGCCAGGTTTTGGTAGCAGGGTGGCATAGGGATGGCTTCTAGTCTTTCAATCTCCTCTGAAGCCTTAGCTGAAAAGAGGGGCTCAGAAGCTGAGGATACTCTGTTGACTGAATATGCTTTATTTTTTCCCTTGTAAATTACATCCTACTGCTTCCCAACTGTACTCTTAGCGTTTGGCTGTGCAGCTCCTTGTGAGACCATATATTGCATTTAGATGCAAGAAATGCAAGGGTTTTGAGCTGCTGGGCATCTGGGCGGGGGGGAGGATCTTGCATCCAGAGATACGTGATGGAGAAATAAACCTTTTCTCAGTCTACTACAGCACCTTGGGCAAGCAGCTGCCCTCTTCAGTACTATGACAAAGCAAATGGGCATGGGAGGGGAAAGCTTTGCTTGCTGCTGGTGTCTCCATTACTCAGAAGTACAGATGTCATCTGCTTGTATGTCATCTGCTCTCTCCAGCAGCAATGGGAGGCCAGTGGTCTGTTTCAGGCTGTGAGAAAGTTCAAGAGGAGAGCTGTGTATCTTTGGGCAGCAAATGCTCTCTGAACATCCATTTCTCTCTCTTCAGTGAGAGAGTGGTGGTCTGAAGAAAAGTTTGTCACCCACACTCAGCGGCTGGAATACACATAGGCTTAAGATGTGTGATTCTGAATAGTTTTACAGCATTTCCCACTTAATAAAATAAAAACTAGGAGTCCGTTTGTTCCAGCAATGTATAGTTGGATTCAAGTCTTGGCCTTTTTGAAGTGCTGGTACTCTCCTAGATTTTATCAGGATTAGGCTCTGTGCCACATTTTGTTAGGTCCAGCAAAACTTGAGTTGGGATATTAAAAGCTTAATTGCATGGCCTGGTGTTGACAGACAGCATTTTCAAACAGTGATTCACAGAAGAGAAGCAAAGAAAATGAAAATATGAGGATTTTCTAAAATAACACTTCCTTCTTTTATTGCAGATACGTATTTGGGCTCGGAAAGAGGCAGTTAAAAATGGCTATGTTGACTATGCTTTAAATATCACAGGCCCAATATTTTCATTTCTAGAAGACTTACTTAATGTCAGCTACCCTTTGCCAAAGACAGGTAAGATTACTTATCGCCTTAAATGGACCAGAAATGGCTACTGATTGTGTAACATTCACAGAAGAAATGGGCTCTTTTGCAGTATTCTCTTTTTACAGCTTGCCACATTAATGGAATAAAACCCCTAAGCTTTAACTTACTGAATTTTCCTTTCTGCATCATGGCTTTTATTGACCCGTAACTCAGCACTCTTACCTTCACATCCCACTCATTCTTTTAAAGCATCATTTCCTAATAAAGGGTCAGATGGGGCTACAGAGTAGATAGAAAGGAGTTTTTCAGTCATGTGGCTATTTCTGGGAATCATAGGTCATACCAGGCAAGGATGCCGTAGTCCCTATGTTCTCCTGGTAAATCCTTGCTTTCTTCAGTATGACCTTATCTTACCTGTGAGTTGCCTGTGTGTTCCTGCACATTCCTCCCCAGAAAAAAAGATTCCTGCAGGAAAGCATTTTTTCTAGTTAAAATGGCCATCTGGTAAGTCAGTTAAGTCAAGCTTCAATCAAGAAAAAAGAGTGTCATCATGTAGTTCCACAATTCCCAAGGATTCCCAGCGGCTTCAGCATGAATGATGGGAAAATGTGCTCCTTTATACAAATTGTTAGAATATTGATAGCACAGAAGGCAGTTCTTATTTAAAATGAGTTTCAGACCTGCCCATGATCTTAGCAGATTGCAGGACTGTGGCGGAAGAATTTCCTTCCTTTCTTGACTAGCTAATTTGGATTTGTCAGATCTGTATTTTGTCACTTGAAAGGAATAAATTTTCATCTGTGTAAATGTATTAATCTCCCATTGTATTTAGAATAACTTGCAGAATTACTACAGTTCTTATGGAAAATGTAATATATGCAGTCTTCAGTCATTAAATTTTGCTAACTTAGTAGTCATGTAAGCTATTTAGGGATTGTAGACAATTTTGTTTCATGCTTGTGATCTTCTATGTAGCAGCGATGTCAATACACTAATTAATTAGTATAAAAATATTACAAAATAGAATTAGAATAACAGTATCGCAGGCTTCCTGTTAGGTAAGATTTCAGTTTCACAGAATGCTGTAATACCATTACAGTCCCCACTGTAATGTCATGCAATACAAACTGCATTTACCACTGAGTTTCTTTGAAGTTTTGCTCAATAATCAGTAGGATTTGATCAATTAAGAGTAATGTAATCTCTTGTAAATGCTAGAGATTTCTGTTGCGAACTCCAAATGTGAAATTAAGAACAAACACATTTAAAATCAGGGATATTTAAGGATTTGTTTTTGCCTGATTTTAATGCATTTATAAGTGAGCTTTCTTGCCTGAGGCTGGCTCAATGAGGGCTGCCTCACCAAAAGTGAAAGACCTCAGCTGTAAGCCTGAGGTGATAAGCCTCGCCGAGATGCAGTCTAGCTTTGCTTGGGTTCAGCACCATGTTTACACTGACTAACTAGCCTTCAGACTTGAACTGGCTCATGGACAGCTGGTTTGGAACACAAGATAATGTCTAATTCTAAAATGCTGTGTATACCTTTTCCAAATTTTTAAACAGTCTTTCTTTGAGATCCTTGATGTTTCATCCAGCTCTCACATTTGAACTGGAAAGCTGTTCTCTGTGCATAAGGCAGAAAGGTAGTACAGATGTAACAGCTGTACTGTGGAAACAAAAAGATGATGGTTCTAAGGCACCTTTCAAACAAGAGTGGAAAAGATCCCTCTACTTACAGAGCTGAAAGAGCAAAATTTTTTTTTGTCAGTTGCTAGGCTGAAGAAAGAGGTAAGTATGATCTTTCCCAAATGTGAGAAACTCATACAGAAAAAGATTTCTTAGAGCTGAAATTAATATATTCTCTTCTAGCATTGGTAGAATACAGCCTTCATTTTTATTCAGAACATTTGTATGTACAAGCTACAGGGATCTAGGCTTCATGGGAATTTATTATGTGGCTCCCTGAAAGAGCGGCAATCATGGATGAAAAGTACGAGAAGAAATTTCACAGTCCATTTTCAAAAGTGTTGTCATAATACCATAAAGCATCACTAAAATGTATTATCCTTTAATTGCACACTGAACCAGTGTGAACATTATAATCGTGAGCATTTTACTTCCGAGAATTTTAAAGGTACCTTTTTTTTTCTCTGTTTGAATCAATTTAGATCTGGTTGCACTGCCTGATTTTGGAGCAGGTGCCATGGAAAACTGGGGGCTAATGACTTTCCAAGAATCATCATTGATGTACCTCCCAAGTGATAAACTCACAAACAGAAAGGCAATGATTGCCATAATTGTGTCACATGAGCTAGGACACCAGGCATGTGGTAAAAAATTCTCTGCATTTATTTGTCTATGAGTTTTTTCCCTTCTGGTTGCTGATGATATAGTCCCTGATTAGCAGAAGAAAAATAAGTGACTTGACAGTAGGGGGTGTGAGCACCACAGTACTGAAAGGCTATTGGATCATATGTTCCACTGAAAAATCAATATTAAAAGCAGATTCATATTGCAGATTGCATAGTGACTGCACAGGACTCATTGATGCAAAACTGTTAATCTAATTGCTGTTTTCTTACACAGTACCTATACTAGAAAATACTGTAAGGCTGTAGGGATGACACAGTGCTCTCTACATACAGTGTATTTAGTACTTCATAGGAGAATTAATGGACTTATTAAGTATTCTTTTTTAGTGGCAGTGCATATAATTATTGCAAAATGTATTTGTTTTTCTGTAAGAAACAGCTTATGGTATGATAGAACGAAATTAACATGAACACGTTTTACACTGTAGCTGGACCTTTGTCCAGCTTTTGCAGAGATTTTAAAAATTTTTCTTATTTGATTTGGATTGATAATACAGTTTCACTTTTTTATTGACTATGTTTAATTTACTATTGTTTGGCAGCACAACAACTGTTTGCTCTTAGTCAACAAAGTCGGCAAAAGAGTTTAACTTGGCTATTGCACTTGTATACCCTTCAGATCAGGTCTGTAACTTTTCAGACCTTCAGATGAGTGGATTGCAGGCCAATAAAACAAATGCCAGTACTTAATTAAACTATTTTAAAATGAAGTTGTAGTTCAAGTTTTTAGTAATTAATAAATAGAATACAAATCCGTAAGTGATAAGGTTTTTTCCTTATATATGAACTGCCAAATATGAGTATGTAGCAGTTGTTCTGGAAGTTTTATTGCTTGCCAGGATAGATATTTGTTGATTTTGGAAGTGTTTATTTCCCCGGTTCTGTTTATCATTCCCCTGAAAATGTCCTTTTGTTAAACATGGAAAAGTGTTTTTGTAATTGCTTGTTAAATGCCCTACTTCTAATCGTAGCTTCATATGTTTTTTTAGGTATTTAAATTTTATTGGGAAATGTTTGAAATTAAATGGAGTAAAAGAATGACATAGAGCACTGACATCCATACTCATGATATGAAATTGTCGGTGAAACATTTAAAAAATAACTATGACTTTTCCCAAAGGGCATCTTTTTCTACTGAATTTTCACTATTTGAAGGAATATCCAGCATTTTATTCAATTGACGTGTATACATTAAAGGAAGTTATTTCAGCATAGGTATGTGTGTTTCACCTGCAAAAATGAAAACAGCAGTCCAAAGACATGTTGAGACGTTTTTTCTTTCTATTTAAGTGGTTTGGAAATCTGGTTACAATGAACTGGTGGAACGATCTGTGGCTTAATGAGGGACTGGCATCTTACTTTGAGTATCTGGGAGCTACCTTCGTTGAACCCAAGCTTTCACTGGTAAGTAGTAACGCTTACTAAGTAAGCTAAAGTAGCAAAGTTCCAGCATGTAGGACAAAAAGGAAGTTGCAGGAGGTGGGATTTAATTAAGCCATAGCATTAGTAACTTAACTCCCCTGGGGAAGACCAGCAGGTCTTGATTCTCCCCTGGAGGTTCTCCATCTGCTGGGGGCTGTCATCTTACCCAGCTCTTCTACCAGTGGTGCAGAGGATGGCTGGACAGCTGTGATTCTGCAGTGTCAAGGAGTTGGTATTTTGCCCTAGATCTTTCATGTAGCAAACCCACCTTTCTCTCCTGTGTCCTGCAGCTGATGGTTTGCCTCCCTGCTTGTCCGAGCTCTTTTCCAAGCATCCCATACCTCAGGTATCTTTACCAGGTAGTGACTAAGTTGGGCCATTTTGAATCTATTTGCACTACTGGGTCCATGGGTGTCTGGTGGTGGATAAGGCAAGTATAATACACATAGGTAATCTGACAGCAGGGTAAACCTCCTTCCTGCTCTGCCCAAATGGGTTTACATATAAATCCCATAGCATATTTGGACACTCCATCCATCATTAAATTCTTTGACAGGAGGAGAAGTGCTGCTAATTGTAGCCATGAGATGAGGAGAACTCGCCTGTGCAACTCTAAGTGTCTGTGCACAGTGCCCTCAGCTCCTGAAGAAAGGAGAAGCCTTTAGTCTGGGCAGGCGTGCGACTGCTGTCAATCCAGTCTGCTTTTTATTTGACACAATTGAAATACCATTCATCACTTTCATTTTCTAATTAATTGAAGTACTTAATTACATGCTTAGTTGGAAACTAATACAGGCATATCAAACAAATTCTGTCAGAAGGATTTTTAAGTCATGGGATATACTAACCTTCTGCTTTGAACTTCAACCACAGCTCACTTTATTCTATGTAATGCAGTATTTTGATGTCATTGAAAAGTGTAAAGGCCACCAAATTTTAAACTGTAAATAAAACCTTATCTCCTTTTTAATTTTAGTATTTCAATGTAGAAGCTTGCCTTTCTAAAAACCAACAATTGTGATTTTATTTATGTCCATAAATTTTAATAGTGGGCAATAATTCCATTTGATAAATTCTTGTGCAGTTTTGTGTGCCACACACACTGACAGAATGACAGAATGGCTGAAGGAACCTCTGGATGTCATCTGGTCCAACTCCGTGCTCAAGCAGGGCCACCTAGAGCCAGTTGCCCAGGGCTGTGTCCAGGTGGCTTTGGAATATGTTCAAGGATGGAGACTCCATCACGTCTGTGGGCAACCTGTGCCATTGTTTGGTCACCCTCACAGTGAAAAAGTGTTTCCTGATGTTCGGAGGGAGCCTCCTGTGTTTCAGTTTGTGTCCATTGCCTCTTGTCCTGTCACTGGACACCACTGGAGAGAGCCTGGCTCTGTCTTCCTTGTACCCTCCCTTCAGGTATTTGTATACATTGAGGAGATCCCCATGAGCCCTCTCTTCTCCAGGTTGAACAGTCCCAGCTCTCTCAGCATGTTGTCACAGGAGAGATGCTCTAGTCTGTTCATCACCTTTGTGGCCTTTGCTGGTCTCTCTCCAGTAGCTTTATATCTTTCCTCTACTGAAGATCCCAGCACTGAACCAAACACTCCAGGTGTGTCCTCACCATTGCTGAGGAGAGGAGAAGGAACACCTGCCTCAGCCTGCTGGCAGTACTCCTCATAATGCAGCACTAGATACCGTTAGTCTTTTTTGCTGCAAGGACACAATGCTGGATCATGTTCAACTTGGTGTCCTTCATGTCTCCAGGTCCTGTTTTCACAAAGCTGCTTTCCAGCTGGGTGGCCTGCAGCATGTACTGATGCCTGCAGTTCTTCTTCCCCAGATGCAGGAGTTTGCAGTTCCCCTTGTGGAAGTTCAAGAGGTTCTTGTCGGCTGATTTCTGCAGCCTGTCCAGGTCCCTCTGGATGGCAGCACAAGTCCCTGGTGTATCTGTCACTTCTCCCAGTTTTGTGTCATCTGCAGACTTGTTGAGGGTATGCTCTGTCCCATCATCCAGATTGTTAATGAAGATGTTGAACAGGACTGGGCCCAATATTTGCCCCCGGGGTACACTGCTAGTTACTGGCCTCCAACTAGACTTTGTGACACTGATCACCATCCAATTACAAATTGAACCCTCAAAATTTACCATCTGTTTACAAGGAGAAAAAATGGTCAACAAATTTGATCTCATTATTTTGAAGCCTGTGTTCCAGTTAATGAGTCTGAGAAGCAGAAGTCTTCAAAGTAGCCTGCAATGACTTAAAGGTTTAGGTTTTTTTTTTTACCTTTGTAATTATGTCATGTTCTATCCCATCTTAGGACAGATACTCATCTGGGGAAATTGAATCACCATTTGACAAAACAAGAACTTCACTGATTTACACCAAAGGAGCCATTTTCTCTCATGTTTCTCACCGGGAGAGAGCAAAAATGACACATAGTTAAGCCTTAGTAGTTTAGTTTTTAGATTATTGCTCACGTTTGCAGCAGGAGAAACGGAGAATTTTGGAGGAAAATGCTGCCATATTAATGACCTACGGATGTAAATGAGATACAGGTTTTCAGTTTTCCGTATTTGTTCATTTACTGTTAAATATAGTTGACTTATTTTCCCCTGAGGATTACACTGTAATTGTCTTTGTCAGGGCCAAACCCACAGTCTTTTCAGATGTACAGTTTTCATTGATTACTAATGTTGCACGTGGAAAATGTTACAATTGGGTGTGTTACTTCATAGAAAAGTGAGGGAAGGAGGAAAAGTATCATTCCTTGTTTATTGACAGGCTATTTCTGTTTGTGCTAATCCCATAATCTGCATTTTTTTTCCTGACAATAAGTGTTTTCTGTTTAGCTCACTGAGTTTGGTCTTTTTCTTGCAGGATAAAATCTTTTATGATCATGTTGTACAACCTGTCTTAAGGGAAGACAATGAAATAGGAGTTCGATCACTGTCAGAGAGTGAAGACAAGATCAAAGGATCATTTTCTTTAATGTCTCTGTTTGACAGCATCACATACAACAAGGTTAAAAATATAAAATTATTCTCATTTCTTGTCTATTCTAAACTAGCGGTACAAAGTAGGTTTGAGAGGAACTGTTAAATTACAGTGCTTTTTGTAGGTTGCTTTGTCATTCAAAATTTGTTTCTGCTGCAATTTATTGGCTGTTGCAGATCTGTTTGGCTATAAAAGAAACAGTGAAAAAAAAATTAACCTCCATGAAATGTGAAGCATAGGAGTAGCCTGAGTAGCTTCTCTGAACCACAGTTTGAAAAAATATTGCTATAATAATTCATGTTTTCTCATAATGTTTTTTGTATTTCAGGGAGCTTCTGTTACCTGGATGCTTTCTAGTTTCCTGACCAAGAAGTTGTTTATCAGAGCACTTAGTGTAAGTTTGAAAAATTAATGCCTTCATCTTGATTTATAAGCTTGAAAGTGACAATTGTTTGCTTTGCTGTTTGCCTTGATGATGTTTTTCATTGAACCCTCATGAATTCTGATGCTTCTGTTTGTTTCCGTACAGTCATATCTGAAAGAATTTTCCTTCTCAAATGCTAACCAAGATGATCTCTGGACCCACATACAGATGGTACTGATTTTATATCTAGTATTTTTGCTCTCGTGTTTGGCACAGTCTAAATTTAGGGCATATATTATTTGTAGAAGACTGCAGTGGAATTTGGCTGTCCCTTATGCAGTCTTTCTCTCATATAAAAATGGCTTTGCAGACTCTTTCAGCTAATGTCTTCACAAGCTGCTTTACTGCACCTGAGATCAGTGGAGCTAAGTACAAGGAATAGAGAGATGAGATGGTAAATCAGGGCCAGGTGGAGTTTTGGGTTTCATGGAGATTGCCTAAGCCTACATGAAATTGCATAACCTATTCTTTTGGAGTTTATGTTTTGACAAATTAAAGCGTGTGATGCTCTGGGCTTGATGATTAAAGACATCTGTATGTCACAGATCCAGCAAAGTCTATATCCAGGGCAGTAGCTTAGCATTTCACCCTTTGCTGGTTTTGTCAGAAATGTGAATGAGAAAACAGGTGCTAATATTAGGTTTATTTTTTAAAATTCCACTTTCCTATTCCTCTAAAGAAGGCTTCCCCTATGTTGCAGACTCAGTCTTAGAAGGCTGACACATCTTTTAATCCAACACAGACTGTACCTTCACACTAGTTGGGACTCTAGCTTAGTATCTTTTTCAATTTGTCTTTACTGTCAGTTTGTTTGTTAGGTAGTCAAGTAAAAATCTTTGTGCTTCAGCAGCTTTATTTGAATGAAATTAACAAATGAAATCTGCTGTAGCCGTACAGCGGTGTAAGTATATTAACACTAAAAAGAGAAAGTTTAGCAGTCAGGTTATAAGAATGAGAAATGTCATCTCAGTATTTCGTAATTCCTAAAAAGGCTTATGCTGTCTTTATTATAATGTCAATAATGTCCTTTGGACTTTGTTATATTGATCTTTTGCATTAATCAAAGACCAGCAAACTGCTGAGCAGTTATATTTTCTCTTGTATGTTAGAACAACCCCTAGAGTGTTGCTGAAGCAATATCAGTAAGTGCCTGTTTATCGTAAATATTTCTAATTCCTGTTTCTCTTGTAGGTTGTAGATGCACAGGATGAAGTTCAGTTGCCAGCATCTATAAAACAAATAATGGATTCCTGGACATGCCAAAATGGGTTTCCAGTTTTAACATTAAATCTAACCACTGGCACAATCAGTCAGGAACAATTTCTTAATAAAAAGAAGGAAAACAGTACTGATTCTTACAAGTATGCTTAGCTTGTGTTTTTGTTTTGTATGTCCTATTTTTTGAAAGAAACTCTTCAGTTAGGGTATTATGTTTTGACCATCTGATTTTTTAACTTTGTGTTTATATCATGAGTTGTCAGTAAGATCTCTTTGAGACTAGAGTTTGCAATAGTTCTGCAAGCCACTTCTTTTGCCAAAAGGTTACTTTCCTCTGGAGTAGTTACTTTTCCAGCCACATAATAGCTTTGTAAGGACAGACACAGGCTGTGAATAGGTTGCAGGGTGGGAATTTTGCCTGGCATTTTCTTCTTTCCTCATCCCTCAGTTGTACAGAATGGCAACCTGGGTGAACCATGCTGTAGCTTCTTTCCAGTGCACATATTGCCAGTCTTTTCTGCTTGGCAAGGATAAAGGGGTTGCATTTAAGTACTTATATAAATGAACCCTTCCTCAGAAAGTGCCAGGTACCTAACAAGTAGCTTTAAAGTTCCTATCAGTGAGCAGTGCTGAGTGCCTGGTGCTTTTGAAAGCTGTGCTGCTTATTTAGATGCCTCAAAATGGTGATAGAACTGCCTTTGATCGCCCACTTTGGAAACTTCCATGAAGTTCAGCAGTTGGCATGACTGTTGGGATGCATGGACAGGGCCCAGAAGATGGGTTCTCACGTGGGGAAAAGGTATAAAAGAGAGCAAAATCCAAAGCAGTTTTTTCCTAGCTGCTGTTGCTGGTCACCCAAACAGCCAAAAGAAATTTTGATGAGAACCACAGAGTTTTCTTTGCTCCCAAGCTCCGGGAGTTGCAGAGCATTAGTCCATTCAGCACTTTTGGTTAGCTCAAATAGGTAGATCCAAGTTACAATGTTAAGTCCTTTACTCTAGCTAGCAAGAGGCAATGCCATGTGAATGTAAGAAAATCTAGGACGTGTTATAGAATTTTTCAGGGTTTTGAGGTTTGCATTTGTTTTTCCCAGGAGTTTTACATTCCCTCAGAAAGGAAATTACAGTTGCCAGAATTAATGGCAACTTGCTTGCCTGGGGCCTTTTTTAGTGGGTACCCTTCTGAAAAGGAGCTTTATGTTCTCCAGAGGTAGGGTGAAGTGTAATAAATTAGGAGAGTAAAATTACTGCCTGAAGAAGGAGCCAGAGCAGACATACAGTGATATTCAAATACCTAGGATCAAACAGTATTCTCAATATGAGTGTCTGTTTAAAGCCATGCTAAAACTCCCTCAACTAAGTGCTGATCCACCATAAGTACCACCATCTGATAAGGTTTTGTGCATCAGAGAGGGGCGAAAGTAGATGGAGATTCTTGTAAGAAGGAACTCATCTACAATCTAGTTTAACATCAGCTGAGAGGGGTTTTTTTTAATTTAGTAGTTTATACTACTACTAGTAATACTTTAATTAAGTAAATATTAATTATATTATCTCTTTTTTTTGTTAAGTAACACATGGATTATTCCTATTTCTTGGATGAGAAATGGATCATCACAACCCTTAATATGGCTTGATAAAAGCAGCAGTAAGTAATGTATTTGTTCAGATATGCTAAAACCAAGCTGATAAACACACACCTAACTCCTGTATAAACAGAGGATATATTTGAACTGAACAGGGAGATAAAACTTTGTTACAGACATTTCTATGTTTATCTGTCGTGCTAATTTTATGTTACAATAGCAATAGATTTTCAAATAGGTTAATATGTTGTTCTTTTATATGTTGCATCAAACTTCAGTGTATGCTTTTAATAATATGGTAGAATGTATACTATGAGTAGAGATTTTCATAATAATTTTGATTTTGTCATTTTGTACACAAATCCAAACTCCTCATGCTTGTGTATTATTCTTATCCCAGCAGATCCCATTGATGTTAATGACAGCTTTTGGGGATAGGTAGGATCTCATCTGTGATGTATCAGAAAATGATCAGCTCAAGTAGTAGATACAAGACTGAAAAAAATAAAACCAGCCGTGTGAAGTGACCCAACATTGTCACACATGGATATCTGTAAAAACAAAGTTCTATCAGTTCTTTGTCATCTCAGTGCTTTCCAATAAACAGATATATTTTTTTGAGAAAGAAGAAATGTAATGATTAGAATGAGGTAATAATTTTTCCTTGGCAAATCAGCTCTGAACTCCATTCAAAATCCAAGTTTTGAATCAGTTACGAGGAGGTGCAGAGACTGATGTTTGTGGAATGCATATTGCAGCTCTCCATCCTCTATTTGCAGTGTTTAAAAGCTACTTTCCCTCTTTTTCAGGCAATACGATCACTTGAGTGATCATTTCACAGTATATGGACAAGTAAATAAGCAAACTGTGGATGTTTATTCCTCTGAAAGCTTTAAAGTTAAAGAAACCAGTGATTGCTAGGGTAAAAAGTTAGAACATTTGCAGAAAATAATTGTTAGGCAGCACTTGCTTGGAAGGAATAGTGTCATGTGCTAACCTTGTATTACTGAAGTTCTACCAGTTCAATTTCCTTACCCATCATGTGACTTAAGAGCTACACAAGTTATAAAAAAACCCAGTAATATTGCATCTTCCTGAAGAGACTACGATAAAGGAGAAATTCAGTCTTTAAAACACTTGTAGTTGAAAGCCATGTATCAAACTCGTCAGACACTATTCAGTCAAGGAACTTGCATTCATATTTTAAGATTAAAAAAATGATAATTTACCTTTTTACTTTTTGATGCATAAATAAACCAAATGGTTTCTTACAAAGGTAGAAATGTTAAGGGTAGTTTTCAATTCAGTTACCATTTTGTTCCTGTGAGATTGAAATGGCTTTTGATGAAGAACTCTTATGTTGTCATTCAGAAGTATTAATCAGAATGATTTTGGTAAATGAAAATGAGGGATTTGGTACAAAGTACAGTTTTAACTTGAATTTTGGAATAGTTGCTGCAGTGGCATAATAATCTATAAAGAGGAAACATCTTAAAAGTGATTTTGCATATGTGTATTTTTGCTGCAAAGATCTCTGTGGGAGCTAATTTATCATACTTCTAAACAAGTTAATTTAAACTCTTAAGGTCCAAGCTGGGCTGCTATGAGCAGCGAGTTCGTTCAGTGCTGCACTGTACAATGTTAAAAGCCTGTCCTGTTGGTTTAGGGCTCCTCAGGCAAAGCCTATGTACTTAGCTTCTGCCCATAGAATTGTGTTAGTCACCGTCCCTGATTGAGACATGCGTGCAGCAAAAATAGACACACTAGGAGGATGGTGCTCTTATGGTAGAACATGTTTTGCTCAGCCTGGGGAATGGAGGAGCATAGTTTTGCTATTTTAGCTGGATCTAAAAGTGCTGTTGATGATGAACAGTGCACTGAACCCATATGCCATATAGGAGAAGTACTGCTAGTGCCATATTGTAGCCATCCATGCGATTTTCAAATGGTTAAGCCACTATATATGGCGGATTCCATGGCACTTTTCTGTCTCATTTGAGTTGTGAGGATGACTGAGGGTGAATCCTGTAGTACTTGCTCTGTCAAAACACACTGAAATCTCAGTCCTCTGTTCAGGATAAAGCAGTGCTACATCTAGGCTACTCACCAATATTGATTATTGTTTTAAAAGAGTTTGCCTTCTTAAATCAGGATGATCATAGCCAGTTAAAGCAGCATTTGAATCCTCTTCTGATGAGGCAGCTTAGAGTCTTCAAGGCTGCGCTGGCTCCTTCAGATGTGCTGTAGGCTGTCAGGAGTAAGTCATCGGACAAGCACACATAAAGTAAGTAGTAGTGAGATGAAATGGAACTGCAGAAGGAGGTCTTTAGGGAGTGATGTAACTCAAAAGGGCTATGGGGTTATTTTATTTAAAATATTTTTTTCCTATTGCTTGTGTCTTGCATAAATTTAGCTGTTTGGCTTTCCTTGATCTCCATTTCTGTGAATACTAATAGGTGGTCAGTTCCTCCATAAGGTACTGAGCATTGGTGCTGAAGTACCTGAGGTGTCAGTTGCTTGTTGAAGTTGTTCTGCTGTGCAGAGCAGAGCTCACAAGTGCACGGAGCTTTTGAGGGGTTCTCTTTGAGTCCAACCTCAAACTTGTGTCTCAGATCTCAGAGGAGCACTGAGTCCAGTGTTTGTAAGTACAAGAGAATTTATCAGTGTGCAGAAAAAAAAATGGTACATTTTAATGTCACTTTACAGAAGTGTTTCCTGAAATGCAAGTACCGGAGTCAGAATATGACTGGATCCTGCTAAATGTAAATCTAAGTGGATACTACAGAGTGAACTATGATCAATTAAACTTGAAAAGATTAGCATGCTTGCTTGAAAATGATCCAAAGGTAAGATCATATTTGTTTTCTTAAGCTTATAAACAGACTCTTTCATGTATTTCTTCTTGCAGTTCTTACCAGCAATTACATTGATGAAAACCTGGAATAATGAGAAACTCGTGTGTCACATAAGAAGAAATGATCTACCATTGTGCCACTGAAGTCACTGGCAGCCTTTCATAGTGAAAGAGGAAAAGGCCAAAATAGTTTCACATAAGCATCAAAATGAGATGGCATTCTTGTCTTCAAAGTTGTCCGAACAGCTTGTGGTTCTTCCAGTCTCTTAAATTTGTCTCAAAGAGTTATCGATACAGATATGTGACTGAGCTTTATCTGCTATTAGGTAACCATGGAGAAGGAAAGCTGAGAAAGCTTTTTATTTCCATATTACCTCAAAGCACAATATTTTTGCCAGTAGAGGAAAAAAAAATAAAAATCATCTGACTTGGGTTTTGGTTGAGTGGTGAGGGTTTTTTTGTTGGAGATTTTTCTTAGCAGAGAAGTTCCAGTCAGTTCTACTTGGGCTCTTTCAGTCCTCCATAGACACTGTAACTCAGAGTAGATTTCATCCCACCTCTGACTTGTCACAGCTTGGGCTGAAGGTAAAAGTGGTACAGAACAGCCTATACATGTGGCTGTATAGTATTTAATGCTGCCTAACCCTAGGGTGAGCCAGAGGCTCCAGTAGTAATGTCAGCTCATCGTTTTTGGTAACAGTGGTAAGAAAGTGTAAGCTTTCAGCATCCTAGTAATAAGTGCAGTCAGATTACTTCTTTAGAAGGTCTGGACATGAGTACGATCAGAGCATACAGTGTGATTAGATCTTTCTACAGCACACTGGCTTCCTTTCTTCTAGGCTTTTTCCTTTCAAAGCAAATCTTAAGACAGCAGGAAATGAGGTGTGTGCTGACTTGCAGCCCTTTTTTGCATTGGTCAGGGGGAAGTTTCACTTGAGCAGTGGCTGAGCCGAAGGGGCACAGAAGCAGGGAGGAGACAAGGAGGGGCCAGCAGTCCTCATGAGAACATGAGCTGTAGGCAGGGGTTATGGCTCTGCCTGGGTCATTTAATTCATGATAGTGCCAGACGCTGCTCTGGACTAATCTGAGTATGTATTCTGAACTGAAGTCTCAAAAGGAAAAAATGTACCAAAATGTTATAACTAGGATATATTTAGGAAATGTAGCATTTCCGTGTTTTAATTTTCATTATGGCGTGCAAGTAAGAGGGGTCTTTAAATTCCATGCTTAACATACTGTAGCTGTATATTTAAATATAAAAATACATTATATAGCTGTATATTTATGTATATAAACATCCCTAAAAGCAAATACATAATTTCAGCTTAAAATGCGGGATCATTTTGTGATGCTTTGTAGAAGATTTTGGCTTAGAAAAAGTGTTAGGCGCTTTTCTTATCCTTCTGAAACATAGTAAAGCTTTTTTAAACTCTTAATGACATTTTTAGAGCTGTTAATGCCACATAAATACTTTCTGCAGGCTATTCCCGCTGTCAGCAGGTTCCAGCTGATAGATGATGTTTTTGCATTGACACAGTAAGTATGTTTTGAATATGTCATAAAAGATGATTAAACTACATTATTGTATTTAACATTGCTACTTCTGCATTGTCCTTTCCTACCCATATGTGCCTCATAAGAACAACAGCTGTTTTCACAAAATGGTGGAGTAGTTAAGTGTTTAAGCCATTCTTCTGTCAGTACTGAGCCATTTCTTTAAGATTTCTTTTAACTTTTGGTCCAACTCTTAGGAAATATTTTAAATAGTGGCACTGTCATAAACTTTTTAGGGACTAATTTATATTTGTTGTAACAGAAAAATATTCTGAAAGAACAATCTGAATTTTCCTTCATTTATTCGGGGCTATCTCAGCTGTGATGCTGTCCTGCATCACTCTTAATACCTCTTTAATTTTCCTTGCTGATGGATGACTCAGTTATTCATGTCTGTGGTGCTAGAGGTCAGCAATAGTGTAGGAAGCTGAAGAAGTTATAAATATGTCTGTGCCTCAAACATACCAGAGATCCCAAAAACCTCAGACACCTACGATGTGGCAGCTCAGGGAGGAGGTGGCCAAAGCATACTGTCCCTCCTCGGAGCCTGTGAAGGTAGCTCTGAGAAGTACAAATTCCCATTCCTTCTGTCATACGAATGTTGTTTCTCACAAGAGAGCTCAAACCTAGTATGTAATAAGGAATGTACCTGTGAAGTGTAGAACTGTGCTCCTATGTAAGTACACTAGAAATGTTTCTGTTCTGGAGGAGAGGGGCTTGAATTGGCATTTTATTGGTAATGAAAATATATTTAGCAAAAAAAAAAAACAAATGTGTTATAACTCAAAATACTGCTGTTTTCCTTAATTTTGTTCTACTGAGTGATGCATACTGTAAATGTGCCCATACTGTATCCTGCAGACACAAACAGAGTACAGTCTGCATATTGCCATGCTTACTACCGTGATTGTCTTGTTACTTTGATAGTGGCACTGTGCTCTGTAATAAATGTTTTGAGAGTTCAGCTCTTAGAGGCACCATTGTTTTATATTTATGTTATTTTCCAATGTCTTTTCTAGGTCACTCTCAATGCAGTATCTGGATGTTTTATTGTCAGTTTCATAAGTAAACAGAAATTCATCTTAGGTAATTCATGTGAATAGGTATGCTCAAGTGTGAATTTTTTTGTCTTCAAATAGGTTTGGATACATTCATATTGAAACAGCGCTTGAACTAACAAAGTACCTTGGCAGAGAAGATGAACTCTTCATATGGAATGTGGTATTATTAAACCTAGTACCTGAGAATTTGGAAAGTACTCTGAAAAACTATGAAGTGTATCCGCTTTTAAAGGTATCATCTTTTCTGTTAGTTAGCAAAGATACAGGACCATTTAAATAAATCAGACTAAAAGGAATGTAATTATGACCATGATGGGTCATAGTTCTTGTCATTCCTTTGCATGATTTTGTTAACTTTTATTTTAAATAGGAGGAGGTACTTATTTTTATGTATTTGTCAATGATGAATATCACTGAATCATGAGTAATTCTAAATTGTAAAGCAGAAATCTATTTACGTTCTTTATATTAAGCCTGATCCTGGGTTTTTGTAAAGCTGAGGATTCAGAAAATACAGCTATCAGTCAGTAGCAAATAATCAGTAGTTAGTAACAAGAGTAACACTGCTATGTATAAAGGGGATATAGAATGTATGTGCTCTGCGGTTTGCACTGCCTTCCAGTTCATCTTCATGGAGAGAAAGAAGAAATTTGGTTTCGATACAAATCAGATTATTCTTTCCCATATTTGAGCTACCTAAGATAATACTGTCTTATTTATTTCCTTGACTTCTGTTTGAAGAAGATTTCACTTTTGTTTAAAGTGTAATCCCGCAGTAGTATTTCTCTTAAGTTCTAAAGTAAAGATATATTTAAAATATATGAGAACTTATTTTTCTTTTTCTCTGAGAATAAGCATTTGTTTCCTTTCATAAGTAGTTCAGAGGTTCTGGTGATGTGAAATAGTAACTTCACAGTTTGAATGGATGTACAGGTGTATTGAATTTTAGACCCAGTTTATATACTTTATTTTAATATGCTGTGTTGTCAAGTAGTAAATTTTTAGAATAAATCTGATTAAGTAAAGAAAATACAGTGAAATAAAAACTTGCATCTTTAATTAATTTTTCTTTCCCTTCTTTTAAAAGAAATACCTTTTAAAGAGAATGTTGCCAATATACCATTATTATGCAGGTTTTATTCGTCAAAATGTTGATGCTTTGGAAGATGACTATTTTGCTCAGTAAGTGTTCTGCTTTAATTTGAGTGTAATTGAATTATTATTGTTCCTGTACTATAAGTGTGTGTTATTTATGATGACACCTCCAATAAAACTTCAGTATCAGGATACTTTGGGATATTTTCAGTCTATTTAATGAGCATAAAAGATTATAGTTTAATGATCTGAGTGGTAGCTTTTGTTTATGGGAGAAGAGGCTTAACAGGCTATTGCTAGTTGGGGAAAAACTGAGAGCAGTGAACTTCAGATGTGATTTATGCATCAATCACTAGAACTTTAAAATAGTTCACTTCCAAAGGCTACTGAAGCCACAATCTTGAATGTCAGAATGATTTGGACTAGATGCAGCTAATCTCTTAAAACTACCAAGAGGAATGCAAAACACAAAAAAACCCGCTAAGAAAAATAGTACATTGGTAGCCTCACTAATGTCCATGAATATCAATGTCAAGAACCCATTATTGGTAGTTTAATTTTTAATTTTTATTAAACCTGTTTCTAGTAGAGATTCTCCTGGGTTAACAGCATCACGTTCTGAAACTGTGTGGGCTGGTCAAGCACAGTGCAAGCACGCCAAATGTGGAATACATGTCTTTTATTCTTGTTATTTTGGCTTCCCTTCAAGAGTGTATTTGGAAAAACTTTTTGCAACAGCCTGCTGGCTGGGCCTTCAGGATTGTTTGAACCTGTCATCTGAACTGTATGCTAAATGGATGGACAACCCAGAGTACAAGTAAGAATAATAATGTGCTCTTAGAGGTGTGCATGAATAATTGAGGTGGAAAGTTAATGGGAAAGTACATGGGGGAGGCAGAATGAGAAATGCTTCTGTATACTGCTCTTCTTCCTCAACATAATGATAAGAATTTAAGCCTAACTGTGCTCCCCCAACCCCCTCCTCTTGCCCAAATCCCAACTTTATGTTGATTTAATAATTGTTGCTTTTACATAGAATTTACAGGCTGGAGGATGCAGATTTTTGCCATGAAGACCAAAATCAGTTTAGCCACATAACAGATGAACCTCAGAGTAGGGCTAATATCCCATAACATCCAGTCACTTTGCTGCAGTGCAGCCTTAGGGTTATCACGTATACCAACTCACTTTCTAAGGCTTTCTTAGCAATACTGAGTGAAATGACTGATACAGGCATCTACACGAGGTGAGCTCATCAAATTGTCATGCATGTTCTTTGTTCATGTAAAGAGGTGCTTGGAGCAGCTGTCATTTATTATGCTGATATTGGAGTCTAGAGGTCAGGTTTCTGGTCTGTGATGATGGGAGTCTGGGCTCTACCAGGGTCAGACTTTATGCATTCAAGTATTGCATTCCTAAAGAAAATTTATGATGTATTGAAATTCTTATTCTCTTTTCCTCCCTCTTTCTTTTAATGTTTTTCTATGCAATAGTCAAGTAGTATTGGCACCGGTGAGTGAAAATTTCAAGTTTTTTATTGTCTTTATTTGTAATAAATATTTTGTTGATACTTGTTAGTTGGCAAGGTAAACTGAACTTGTACTTTTATGTTTGTGGGGTTTTAAATAGCTTCATAGTGATCATCCTCATAAAAACTAAATTGTGCTTTGGCGTTAAACTGAAAAGTTTAAATCGCCTAAATCCATTCTGTTATGTTCCAGAAAGAATATTCTTACTATCCCACAATAAAAACAACAGTTCTATGTGGAATTCTCAGGCTGTTTTCAAAATAGTTACTTATCTTCCCCTATTAATAATTTTTTTTTTTTCCTGGTGAAATACTACATACCTTATCTGAGTTGAAGAGCTGAAAAGTCTGTGAAATATATTAGCTGATTTGAATTAGAGAAAGAAGATTAATTTTGTTGTCCTTACTGGCACTGAGATAAGTTCAAAGGGACTTTACAGCCTCACATGTCAATGGCTATAAGTGTTGAAAAAAAAAAAAGCAAATTTGAATTTTGTGAAAAAAATAGTGTTTTAAGGGAAAAAGCCATAGGAGATAGGAAACTTCTTAGGTTTCAAATGACAGATCACAGTTCTTGTTCAGTTACAAAGGAGGCTTTTCAGATGCTGGATAGAAAAGCAAAAGTGCACAATAAACTTTTGACTCATATTTCATAGACAGATCCCTTTAGCTGCTCTTATGTTCTCCATTCTGAGAGCAAAATTTGTAACGGCACACTATAGGTGTTCTGACACATGTGGAACCCAGTAGGATTCTCAGATCTGTGGAAAGGAGTAGTGCTTTTCCCTTTCAGTAAGGTGATCAGTTTTCAGCTGAACATTTCCAAACAGTTCCTGGCAGAACTTAACTGGACTTGATACAGTGCATTTTTATCTGCTCCATGGAGATAACAAGCTGAGAGCTATGATACCGAGGCAGTTTCTCAGTTTTACTCTTTTTTTTTGCCTATAGGAGTGAAGTGAAGCTAGCTAAATTAATGTATTCTCTGTGGTGCTGTTACTGACTTGTCTTCTTTTGAAAGAAGGAAATGAGCCTAGAGGGAGGGACCATGTTGCTGTACAGTTTAGTTATTTACTGAAGGTAACCATATATTGCTGTTGCCCTCAAAAGTTAAGAAATCACTTTGTCCTTTTTGCTCCAGGAGGGAGGGCTACAGGAAAATGACACCTAATCCACCCTTCTCCCAGCAGCTTTTTGCTTCTTCCCCAAGATACAGAAACAAGAGAATTCTGGCAGGCCAGCCATCTCAAACACACAACCACTCCCAGAAAAAAAATATTGAGATTAATAAATCCCACTGCTCATCTAACATAATCTCAAACTCCAATGTCCCTCTGGACCGCACTGGACTTCCTCTTTGAGCTACAACATAAAGCACTTCAGGGCCACCATAGATGTTACCAGCTAGAGGATCAGTGTCCCATAGTAGGCTACCCACATTGCTTGCCTTGAATGCTGAACATCAGAGCTGCAACCAAAAGATACACAGAGCTTATCTCTTTGCTCCTCACCTACAACAACTCTGCGCTCAGTAACCAACATTTTCTTCAAACTGTTGGCACAGCTGCAAAAGAGCTGTATTTTAGCCAAGGCAGCTTTTCATGAAGCATCTTGAAAAGATGATTTTTAACTAGCTGTATACCCTGTTATCACCCTACCATCACCTCTTTTTGCAGTGTTATGAAATAATTATTAAACAAATTACTAGACCCTGTAACTTAAATAAGGTCTGTCATAAGAGGATTCCTCACAGGACTATTTACCTTGACATAATCACTTAATCTCAGTAAGCATTATTCCTGGTGGCAAATCCCCTATGCTCCAGCACATAACCAGGTAAATCAATCCAAATTTTTTTTTTACAATAAATATAAAACATGCCCAGACTTTCTGTTTTTATGCCAGTGAACCTCCCCACCCACAACAGGACTATCAAAATCCCTGCATCTTGCTTCTTAACAAGCGATGTCTGCCATCCGGAACACCCGACTCTCTCTGTCATTCCCACTAGTCCTTAGTTTCCAAAGTTTACTTGTCTCTACCTTTACTTTGAAGATTGGTGTCATTTAGCCTTTCTTCTGACTAATACTGCTTCTCTTTCTGCTGGTATAATCCCCATTTTCTCTAGGATGGTGTAGTGAAACTCTGAGGAATGTTTAACCTTTAATTTGCTGCTTCTGGTTTTGGGCTGTAGAACTGTTCTTGTGTGACCAGAAACTTGTCTGTTTTTCTCAGTCTCTCTCCTGATCGAATGGAACATAGTGTTTACACGTCTACTTACAGTGTGTAATAGTATGCCATTGGGAAGTTCTACATTTCATTTGTAGCAATGGAACCCATTCTCCTACATAGAATTAGTCCAAAATAGCATTAATTTAAGCTCTTTTCAGATAGCCTGTGTGGTAGAATACGTTGCTATCACTGGAAAGGGTTGACAACGTCTTAATGTCAAGGATACGTCCTTGCCACAGAAGAAATTTTCTTTTCAGCCTTTGCACATGAAGTGGAGTATTACACTGATAACGTTTGCATTTAGTTTCTGTTGTGAAATTCATTGCCATGTTGAGGACTGTCCTCTGGGGTGGGAATAATAGGAGGCTGTGTGTTGCGTGGAGAAATGTCCCTTCTGTTTCCATTTGTGCTGCACATGGTCCTACTGGATGCATTTGCTGAAGAAACTTTGAAAAGGCTTGCCTGGTATGATGCTTATATGCAGCTGTACTCTCTTTAACGGTGTGATCCATGTCCTAGCCGTGATGTGAAAGTGGCAGTAATACTGAATGTACACAAAATAGCTTGACCCAACTGTTTTAAAAAGTGTTTTTAGTTTGCCTTTAAACTGCATGCTTTTAAAATGTTTAAATCATGAATAAAGCAATCAAATTTCTTAACTTTATTTAGATTGCTATTTTGTGTTTCCTTTCTTGTGCATCTTTTAACTGTAAATAAACATTTGTTTTCAATTATGTGTTAACTGTTGGTTTTGACTTTACAACAATACAGTAGCTTTTAATCATATTTTGCTTTGCAGAATTCCCTTTTTAATTAGAAGAACAGTCTGCTGTTACGGTGTTGCAGTGGGAAGTGATAAGGAATGGAATTTTGCATGGGAAATGTATAATCATACCGACTCCACAAAGGAAGATAAAGACATCCTGCTCTCTGCCATGAGCTGTGCCAAGGATTCATGGTTACTTTACAGGTAGCCTTGATGGAAGTGTATCTTTTTGTATATAAAAGTAAATAATAAGAACACAAGTACTGTACTATGCAAACCTGATGGAGGTTTGCCTGTCCCAGAAGCATGTGTCTTATAGACCGCTGGAAGAATCTTTAATGGTTTCTTAAGGAGAAATTATGATAAACAGGGCAAACACAAATGATCCTTCTGCTGGTATAACATCCAGATGCTGGTACTCACGGAGAAAGGGGTTTCCTGAGCTGGTAACTAGTGTGTCATATCTAACACTGGGGCTGTCATCTGTCAATATATCTAGTGACCTTGTTGAACTAAAATGTTACCTTCAGGCTTTATAGCAGACTATGACAACATATTCCATTGTATAATTGTATGTTATTTGAAAACATACTTCCTTTTGGTTTGTTTTAAACCTGTTTCATGTTGGTTTTTAACTTGAAACCCATTGGCTGCCCTTAGTCTCGGCACTGTAAGAAATAGTGATTATTGTAATTTGCTTTGATGTTTTTTCCTACCACTTATGATTTTATATAACTTTCCCTTACTCCTTCTCCCCTGCTTATTTTGTTTCCAAACTAAAGTATCATAGTCTATTTAGCCTCTGTGTGGAATCCAAATCACCCAGGTTAAGGACAAAAATGAAAATAGACTTACTAGCAAGCTGTTCACCATTTGAAGTGCAGAAAAGTAATTTTTTAAAAAAATGTCCAGCTCCATAGAATGATAGAATCCTAGCATATCCTGAGTTAGAAGGGATCCACCAAGATGATTGAGTCTAACTTCTGACTCCATGTCAGGCAACCTGTTAAGCCATATATCTAAGAGTGTTGCCCAAATGCAATGGCATCCATATAAAATCTTTCTACTTTATCAGTAAAAACATGTTGAAGCTGAATTATCTCATCTGTCATGTCCACATTACCTAAAGGATTCATCAAAGGACAGAACTTTGCCAGTGATTGCCTAAACAGTCATCCAAGAACATAAAATCAGTGGGCCTAAAGCTCTGAAAATGGCAGTTGTTTGAGCAGACAGAATAAATACGCTTGTGAAGAAGGCTTGCAAAGGGTTGCAAAGAGGTGCCCTGTCAGCTCTACTGATTTTGCACCTAATCGGCAGTCCTTTATTGACTTCGTCATTGGCACAGGCTAGCACTGGTCCCTGACAAGCTCACCTCTGTCCTCCCTGTGCCTTAGTAGTTGATAAGCCAATCTATTTTCCTAATCTCATGCCATCCTGAAAGTCTTTTGGGATGAGGAATGGTAAGCTGGGCCTTTCCTGGCCCTCAGTATATTTTATCTATTCTGTTAAGCATGGTGGTGGCATGCAAATAGGACAAACACAGCTCATCTACTCTACACGTAAAGCAGCTGCCTGCAGGACCCTTTGAGAAGACAACTCTTCAACAGTGCTTCTTGAAAGCAGGAGCATGCGAGGTGATACATTGAGGCAACAGAGTATAGTTAGTTATTTTTTCAAGATATTCAGGCACTCACTGCCATGGATATCATTGGCAGTTAGTTCCTTAAATACTCTGAAGTCATGCCTTGGCCCCATGAAAGCATCCAAGAACCCTTGTTATTGTGTCTTGTTATAGGGGACCCTAAACACAGGTCCCGTTTGCCTAACAGAATGTCTCACTGCTGGCTTGCTCTCCAGGCTCTATCTGTCTTACAGCAAAGTGAGTCTCCAGAAAGTAGGAAGCGGTTTGCCCTTCCACAGGGTTGTCTGGTAGGAGTGGTTGTCTTTCTGTAGCACAGATAAGAAAAGCACATCTATCCATGTGATGTGCTACACCCTCATTTTACTGAGAAGTGGAGAATTGGTGTGCAAGAGCAGGGAATTTCACCAACATAGGACAAAACCCAAGCTGAATGCACAGCTCAGAGTGACACCAACCTTGGTATAACCTTCCACATTCTGGTATTTGTTGAGATAGGAATATTCCCGACCTGGATGATATTTACAGATCATCACTGTTAAACAGCAAGTGATAGGTACAATTATTACCTTCTTTTATAACAGATACTTGCAATATGGACTCAGCGATACATTATTTTCTTCCAATTGTACTTCTATCATCATCTTATATGTGGTGACGAAGGATATTGGGCACCGTATAGCCTGGGAATTTGTTACGGAAAATTGGCCACTTTTAAGTGAAAGGTATGGTAAGCAACCAGCTTTGGGTTCCCTTTGTTTTTGGGCCTCATTGGCTTCTTCCTTCATCTTTATGTTTGAGCTGTAAAATCCAGGTGCAGATTGTCCTCCCAGAGATGGCTTTTTTGTAATGATTGATGCAATTCCTTAAGTATGCTGAGCAGAGTTTTCAGACGATTCAGCTCTCATTAGGGCTCAGTGTCAAAGAAGAGCTCATGTAAGACACAGAATGCTTTAAATACTAGTCTGTTCATGGCTGTTCTGGAGCTTTTAAGGGTTAAATTTCTTGGAAAATCTGACTCTAGAAATGGGTTTATCCACAAACATTTCACAAGCGTGGGTATAAAGTGCTGCAGTAAGATCGTAACCTCTTTTCTGAAGAGAGTAGGGAGAGATGGGGGATTGGACCAACTACAGTGTTATTCCCTGACTTAAGTTATAACCCATCTCCAGCCTACCTGCACTGATGCAGGTAAACCACAGGTGAGCTTGGGCTACCTGTCTGGAGCAAAGCAAGGACTTTGATGTCTGTTGGAAGACTCCCTCTCTCCTTGGCAATGGTGCAAAGCAGCAGGGCTGTGTCAGAGTACATTCCTGCAATCTTCTGGTGGCAGAGGAGTCCATCAGGAGGCATTATGGGCAGCATATTCAAGACCAGACATCTGGGAGCCTTCAAATGTGTATCTGTATTGCTAATGCTAGAAAAGGCAAGTTGTAGCAGGTTTGTGTCACCTCAGGTTTTTCCCTTACAGAGCTTTTCTGTGTTCCATACTGATGAGAAATTGCTGGGAAACTGACCCATTATTTTTGAACTAAAACAATAGTGTGGGCATTAATTTATACACCATTAATTTATACATCCTCAAAATACCAACAGAAACACCAGGTTTTTAGAATCATTATTGGTTAGCCTTTCTAGCTCAGTTTGGTTGTATGTGCTCACAAGGATTATCTGCTTTAAGCACAGAATTCACATTACCAAAGTAGAAATACAAGACCTTACTGGGAAACGAAAATTAAGGGTAATTAGTGTGCTTCATCCTGCTCAAATGTCTAAATTGAATGTTAATGATATTTCTTTATAACAGGAAAAAGAGTACACAGTTGTAAACTTCAGCTTAGTTGGTATTTCCAACATGGTAAATAATAACTAAATAGTGAGAGTATTTTCAAATGAGGTGAAATTTAGTGTATTTGCTAATATGCTGTTTGAAGGACCTTTATCTCAATTTTACAGGTGTGGGAAGGAATTATTACATGATGTATTAAAAGCCATGGGAAGATTTGTCAATACAGATGTACAGATCAAAGAGGTAAATCAGAGAAGCAGTTAGTTTCCCCTTTATTGCCAGTTTATAAATACAGGTTTTTAATTCTTTTTTTTTTTTTTTTAAGAAATTATAAACTGTATTGTATAATGTTGCTGTGTTGAGACATTGAGAAAAATTATTATACTTCCTTGTCTGCAAAATAAACATAAGAATATGCACCCACAGCTCTGCAGTCCATGTGTGCAGTTGGTTGTTGGCATGAAAGTGAGCTTTTGTGCAGGGATGGATGTTCTACTCTGTGTGGTCGCAGTGTAAAAGGTTGCCTGCCCATGTGCTAAACAGATGGCCTGCATATGTGACACAGTTCTTTCCTTTTGACTGTGTGGCAACCCAGATGAACCCATGAACAATACCTTCTAATTGTGCTGCTGTACCTCTGGAAAAAGGGAATGTTTTTTGGGAAAACTGCTGAAGGGTGGAAATCTGTGGGAGGTGGCTGTGGGCTGTCTTATTTTATTCCCCACAATAATCTACATGTTACTGCCTGGAACAAATTAATAACTAGTACTACTTGTTTCATTCTCTTATCTTGTTCTTTTGCCTCCAGTCCAGGTCTCCCTAGATGATTTCCCAAAATAGTATTTTCTTTTCTCAACAGCTCAGCTTGTGTGCTGTCTGCATGTGATCCACATTTCTGTGCCAGCCTCAAACTGCTAGTATCTGTCATTACAAGAGAAATTTTGTTTCCCTTTTTTGCTGTTGATTGATGTGTACAGCAAGTAGCTAAGAAGGAATGCTTAATGAGGAGAGTAATTCAGAGAGTTAGCTCTTAAAATCAAGGAAATCTCTCTTGAAAATTAATGAACTGTAAGTTTTTAACTTTTTGTTCTTTAGGGACAAGTTAACTCCCCAGGATGGCAAAAGCCATAGCCCAGCACCAGCCTTTAAATTAACCTTCAGGTTTGGAACTGAGTCCCAATAAATATTATCAGAACTGTCTCATTTTCCTCTTTAAAATCTGTCTCTAGAGATCACCTTTGCCATGATGTCTACAGGAAACGTACCAAAAGTTGTACTGCTGGCATGTTAGGTGACTGGTTGTCATGCTGACATCTATCTCGTTTATCTTCTTGTTCATTTCCTGCTCCCCCCATATATTTCTTTGCTATTCTTTATTCCTCTCTTGTCTTCTGCTCACTAGACTGATAGGAAAGACTTCTTGTTCTCTGATTGTAGAACAGGCAGCACAAGAGACTTTTGCTACCCAGCTAGTCTAGTCTAGTCCTAGACACTGTGTGGTACCACCACTACTAGTGAAGTTGTCTGCATTTGAAAGGATTTTCAGAGGGATGGCAAAAGGGCACATTCCTGATGTGCAAGGAGCTTTCCTATCTTACTGTTAATCAGTAAGCTTGCCCCATCCCCTCTTTAGTCCCTGCCATCTCCCCCTTTTCTGTGCAGTTCTGTCTAAAGCATCTGTCAGGTACACTGTTGGCTTGCTGCAAATGAAGTTATGTGAACTATGCTCATGTGTTTATTTCTTCAGTTGCAGGTTTTTTATAATAGTACACTGGAAGAGGATGAGAGAGTGGCTACTACTCTACTACTGGAGTTCACAAAATTTGAAAATATGGAAAGGAGAGAGCAGCTAATCAAAGTTGCCAAGTGGTTACAGAAAAATGTAGATAATTGACTTGGAAAACAATTTCCAGTATATTTTAGAGTGTGATTCACTAGCATTTTGGTATTCATTTTAAGATGTAATTAAAGATAAAGCACATTTTTATGAGTCCTGTGGTTGTCTTCCCAGCTGGAAAGTCAGACTAAAATAATTCACAAAGAAAAGAAAGATTCAGCAAAAGAAATGAGAGATATATTTTCATATTTATAAATTAATTTTTTCCTGGATGAGTTGTTAGTAGCGGTGCATTGCTGATAACAATCTAACATATAGATACAGTCTTAAATCCTTTGTTTTTTCTGAATATCAGAATTAAAGATATGCTACAAGTCTGTGGCAGAAACACATGAGGAAGCTGGAAAAGTTTTATATTCTGTTTTGATTATGATTTGTACTGTGACCTTGGGGAAGGCATTTAATCTGTCGCTCTCCACTTTTATGTTTCCAAATTGCAAAGAGGACAATAATTTAGAACAGTGCCATGAAATAAAAACTTGAGAATGGCTTCAGAGCTTTAGGGAGGAAAGGACTAAAGAAACCTCAAATTTTAATTGTAATGAATGAATGCCTTGTCATTCAAACCTTATTTTTCCTTAGCAGATCGGTACTTACTGTGTCTACATTCACATTTGTGTTTGATGAGGAATGTGCTTTTGAAGAGACCCTCCCAATTGTCTCTATTTAGCATGCTTCAACTTCTAGGACAGTCTTGAGGTGTGAACTGTGTTCTTTTTAGATAAAATTTATCTATGAGATTATGAGCTCCTGGTGTGCAACTGATAGACACCACCATCTGATGGTCATTTTGTCCATGGCACTGGAATGCAACTATTCTAAACTAACCCCTCTGGAATATCATGAAGTGTTTCCATTCTTGCTGCACTGAGCTGCTTGCTGGACATAGGGTTAATCACCTTGCTTATGCAGCATTTTGGAGGTGACAGACAGACAGAATTCAGTCCATGAATCCGTTAGCAAACCATATTAGCTTGTGGTTGAAGAAGTCCATGTGATTTATTTATTAGTGGGGTAATAATACTATGACAAAATTACTGTACTTGTGCTCAGGTTAACACAGAAAACAATGTTATGTGGGAATGTAGGAAACCAAATAAATTACAGAATCACAGAAT